ACCCCTAGCTTTCCCTGACCCTGTCCTCAGTCTCTTTCTCAGACCGACTCCTAACGACACAGGACCCTGAGTAAGTCACTCTTCTCACGCCTTAGGCTACATGTCCCATGGGGTCAGCTATGGCCTTAACTCCATCCACCCCAGATATGGAGTTCCTCGAGGTCCTGACTGAGGGACTGAACAGGGTGCTCCTGGTCCGGGGCAGCGGCCGGGAGGTGATCACCATCTACTCCTAACACCCAGCTGCTCGGGAAGCTCGAGGGGCAGGCGCGGGGCTCGTGTCCAGCACAGACCACAGCCTGACCTGCCAGCGTGGCTTCCTACAGAAGCTTCTAGAATACCAGCGGGCTCCCCTGTGCCAGCTGAGAGCCAGCGCGCGACTGAGAAGGTTTCCTCGAGGCCGAGGGGAGAGGAGATGCCCGTGGTGCTCCAGGTGCTCCTGAGGGAGGCTCCGGGGGCCTGGGACCTGCGCCCCTCGGTGAGGGCCATGCACCGAGCCTCTGGATTCTGGAGTTCATTCTCCTGGCACATTTCAGTTCTTCCCCGTCCCGGACATTCATAAGAAGCCACACTTGGTCTGGAGTTGACCCCGGGGCCATTAGGGTCCGTGTATGAAGGCGGAAGGTCAGCCTGTGGCTAAGGGCTCAGCACAGGTTCTCCGTCCGCCCCCATCTGTCTGTGCTCTTGGATGTCCCCGTTTGTCTCCAGCCGCCCACGCCCACATCCCGGCTCTGCTGGGGGCCTTGGTCAGGGGCCCGTCTCTGGGACCTCTGGTGAGGGAACGTGGTTCTGTGGGGACAGGAGGTGGGTGGTCCTGCTGGGCTGGTGCTCCAGGAACCTCTGAGGGAGAGCACCCCCGTGGAGCCCTCCGAGCCCAGGCGTGTGCTGCTGGGCGCTCCAGCCTCTCAGGAGCACTGCGGTCCCGGCTCTGCGGGCACGTTTCTGAGACACGGGAGCTGTGAAAGCCCGGCATTCACACCTTCGGAGCCGTGAGCACACCACACAGCTCAGCCTCTGACACACTTGCTCCTGTGGCCTCCGTGGCCCCCCTTGGGCTCCGGGGCGGGGCGCCCGCCGAGGCCGTGGGGTCCCGGGCGGGAAGGGCACATGCACTGAGTTGTCCGGCTGCGGCCTGGTCCCTCCACCGCATGGAGGGGAGGTGGCAGCCGTGTTTAGGGCACTGACGAGGTACCTTTTAGCGATCCGTGGACTTTGCACTTTACCTTGTGGTCTTTCCGCTTGCAGTCGTGAGCACGTGCACTGTAGATGCTGCGGTGATTGGGGCCCTGCCCGCCGTGTGGCTTATTTATTTCGTTAAACACCCGGGCATTTCAATGCCGCGTGGTCCCCGTGAAAGGCCCGAAGGACCATGGCTTTGGCGCCCTCGGGCTACCATGGGGTCCCATGAGAACGGACCTGGGCCTGGACTTCATGTCGGGGCAAAGACTACACGTGCATTTCTAGATGGTTCTGAGGAGCCATCGGGCAGCCTAGAGGGCCAGCACTGCCATCCGAGTGGCCACTGGCCAGAATGTGTGCCAAGTAGCTGCAGCCGTCCAGGGTGGGGGTGGGGTTCAGACGTGGACCGTCCTGTTTCAGCATTGAGTTAAGCGAAACCTCCTCACAGGTGCCTGGTGAGGGGTCACGTGTCCGCCCCACCCGCCTGTCCTCGGTCTGAGCACCCCCCCGCCTCCCCGCACTGAGCTTTGTGTAACTGTAACCGCAGCCAGTTCAAGTGGATTTTGTTTTCCTTTTACAGGCTCCTTGTCTTTGTATGGTTTTTGTTAGTAGAAGAATAAAAATCTATGTTGAAGAATCTCACGTGTCTCTTTCGGCGTAAAACTTAGATAATTGGCAGAAGATGCCCCCATGCCTCCCTTCCCTTGGAGGTGTTTGCCGAAACTTCTGTCAGGATAGAATCAGCAAATAACACCTGTGACTAGAGTATGGTGACCAGACATCCCACTTTTGGCGAGACAGTCCCGATTTCTAACAACTTGTCCCGCGGCGTTTTAGAAAAGACTTTTTAAAAAATTGTTAGACAAATTGTTAGAAATCGGGACGTCTGGTCCCCTTAGACTAGAGGGACCCCTTACTCTAACAGGATCGCAGCCAGGCCACGTCATACCCACGGGATGGAGGTGAGCCGAAGGGGCAGGGAGGCTGCCCGCGGGTGTGAATGTGGCCGCGGAGAAACCGTTGAAGCTCCTAAAGTTGTTCAGCAGTCACTGTGACCCAGCAGTCCTGCTCCTGCATGAACAGCCCGGAGGGGTGTGTGCCCACAGACACAAGTGCGCACTGCTCACACCAGCCAAAATGTGGGAACAGCCCACCTACCCATCCGTTGACAAGTGACTGAACAAAACATAAACATATTCACTGGAATCTAACTCAGTTGTTGAAAGGAATGGCGCCCTGACATGAGCTACCTCACGGATGAGCTGTGTGACAGCCAGCCACAGGTCACGTACATTCCACTTACATGAACTGCAGGATAGCGGAATCCAGGCAGAATGTGGGCTGGTGGTGAGGAAACGGGCTGTGGGAGGGGAACGTGGCCGCGGGCATGGGGTTCTCTTCGGGGTGAAGGTGTTCTGAAGTCTCATGGTGAAGTGTGCACCGTGTGAACACAACGCCATGTGGTGAACAGGCTTGGGAAGCTGTTCACTGTGACTCCTGGGGGCCGTGGGGAGGGTGGACGCAGGACTGCTGAGGAGGGACTAGCGTGCCCAGCTGTCCTTTGGTCTCTGCTACGGATGTTCACATGCATGACCTGGAGCACAGGCCTGGCCTTCGGGGCAGGAGTGAGGGTATCACAGGGGAGTTGGAGGACCAGGCCCCCAAGCGCTGTCAGACTCCTGGGAAGACATGGTAGGGCCCTAAGGTCCCAATTGGGCCACGCAGCCAAGGGCACCCACGCAGTGAGTTCTGCGGGGAAGCAAGTGTGGGCATCATCAGTGCCCACGGGGCCGCAGACAGCGTGGCACCTTCGCCACTGGACAGCCCTGGAAAGGGGTGCAGATGCACAAGACAGCGGAGCTCAGATGTGTGAAAGGCAAACTCAAATGCCAATATAACAGAACCACTGGTGTGTGTCGGCCTCAGCTCAGTGCCTGTGAGCGCCCTGAGCCCCAGGCAGCACGCGGCCTCTCCTGCAGCGCCATTGCACTCACCCCGTGAGCAGGCACCTCCTTGCTGAGTAGGCTGCTTTCCTTGAGGCAGCCCAGCCTGGGCCAGGGACCCTGGTGCGGTTGGTCTCTGGGCCCCACTCAATGCCACTTGCCCATCCCTCCCACACGCAGGCTCCTGGGGCCCGGCCAGCACCGCCCGTCCTCCCTGGCCCAGTATTGCTGGGGCCTCTCTGGTACAACTTCCCCCAAAGCCCTGCTTTGCCAGGATCTCATCAAGTGCTCAGGAGACAAGAGGGTGGCTGTGGCTTGTCTGTTTCTTGATTTTTTTTATTTTTTTTTTTGAGGTCCCATGTGAGAGGCGGGTGAAGGTGCAGGAGTCAGGGGACCACGAGGTCTCCAGACAGCACTCACATCTGCCCCACAAGCATGACTGCTGTGGAGAAGGGGGCCGAACAGAGACAACCGCCCACTGTATTCCAGTGCCCTTACCTCTGAAACGCCACTGGAAGCCCCTGGAAGCATCATCTTTGTGTTGTCGGTCCAGAAATTAAGTTAATACGTGGGAATGTCAGCGCGAGCTTTCATTCATATACCAGGTGCTATTTTTTCTTTTTTAAAATACATTTTTACTGATTTCAGAGAGGGAAGGAGAGGTAGAGAGAAATAGAAACACCAATGATGAGAAAGAATCATCGATCAGCTGCCTCCTGCATGCCCCCCACTGGGGATTGAGTCCACTATCCGGGCATATACCTTGATCAGGAATCAAACCGTGACCACCTGGTTCGTAGGTCGGTCAAAGCTACACAGGCGGGCAGCCAGGCGCTGTTTTCATCTCTTCACTATGGATGTCACAATCGTGAGGAGGCAAGCTGTGTGCCCCCTGCCCGCCAGGGGGCGCTACTGCCCGCGGGAGCTGGTGGGATGGATCGCGCAGGCGCAGTCATCCCAATCTGGACAATGCTACGCTTCTCTGCAGCTCGAACTCACAGGCAGCGACACACTCGGCTTCCGGTGTGTTTGCTGGCGTTCACTGCACGCACGAATGGTTCTTAAAACCAGGGTCTGGGATCAGAGGTTGGAGTTCAGGCTCACCCGACTTCCCTGGCAGCTGGTGAGCAGAGCACCTGCCCAGGGGCTGTGGTGGGGCCGCAGGGTCTGCTGGGACTAACGAAACACGGTCTCTGAATGTGGGACCACGTGCAGGAGCTCTGCACCCTGAGGAACGGGCCCGGTGGGGATGACAGGCGTGTCTGTAAAAACCCTGCTGCCAGGGGTGTGGGTGTCACTGCAGATTCAAGTGCAGGCGTCTCGCCAGGAGAGGGCGCTCCGCACTGGGCAGCCAGTAACAGCCTGGGTCTGAGGATCTGAAACACCTGGAAAACTGAGATTCCAGTGTTCTGGCCTCGAAAGATCCTGAGAACCCCTCAGTTTTCCCTACTCAAGTGGCCTCAATAGACAGACATTAGTTACTCTGAAATCCCTAGGGGCTTTACAATGGCTATGATCAGGAACGTGAAGGCAAAAGGGAGGAGATGGCAAATGGTCGGCTCCTCTAGATTCTCAGCACCGAGAGCCGTGTCTCCATGGACAGCGCGGTCCTCCCAGCCCGATAGTGGTCTGAAGTGTCCTGTTATCATAAACCCAACTTGGGACTTAGGTTTTGGGTTTTTTTTGTTTTGTTTGTTTGTTTTTTAGAGCAGTAAAGTAGGGGGAAACATTACCCATACATCTGGAGTTGTGCATTAATTTCCCTTCTGCAAATGTCTGAACAGAGACAGACACGCTCTCCATGCAGCATCAGCCCCCAAAGGCTGGTGCAGGTGGACTGACCATATCTATTAACAAAGCTCACTTTGAAACAGGGGATGACGTATTACAAAATGCACATATTTTTATTATGCCTGAGGGGGGAGGGAACACAATTACAAGTCAATCACCAATTAGCTTGATTCTTAGACACTGTTCCACGAAGAATACAAGTTCACCTGCACAGACTCTCAAAGTCACTTGCTCGTCTCAGACGGAAGACGGGGCAGCAGGGTCCTGCCACAGGGGGACGCTGCCAGCCAAGGTTCCACGGCCCTCGGACACCATCACCGCCCCTATCCCTCACCCTCCCAGCGGGAGCACCCCGTTTCCTCCCAGGTGGGCATCGTGGAGGCTTGATGAGCTCTACAAGTTTACCTGAGCCCGGACAACAAGCGTCCCGCCTCCAACCTGCGAAGGTGTTTCAGGTGGGACCCACCACCTGCCCCCACCCTGCTGTCTGCTGAGAGATGCTGGTGCCAGCCCCATCTGGACCCCCTCTCTGCTCTCAGAGCCTCCCCTCCAGAATTTCCTGACCATCGTGAGGAGCGCTTCCACCCGCCTTGTGGCCGCCAGTCTTCTGTGTGATCTGCACTCCGTGCGGGGACCCAGCGCACGGAGGAACAGCGGCTCCCCCAAACCGCCTCCCTTGGCCTTCAGAACGAATAATTACACCAACCACGTTCACTCCCGGCTACGGGGCAGCACAGCCCCACCACCCTGCAGGCCTCGGTCCAAGGCCCCCAGCGCATGAGGCACCAGGAGACCAACACCGAGCCAGCTGAGCAGAGTCCCTCCTGCGCCACGAGGGCTCCTTCTGGGATCGTAAATGAAAGATACAATGTGCTTTTCTACGCGTACATGTGGTTTTATGGGTTACACAGAATCACTTCATAACGGGAGCATCAGTGGCATCGAACGTACCCATCCCAACACGACACCCGTCAGGAGCGCGGAGGGAAGGCGCGCGGAGGGAGCGCCCAGGGCCTGCTCCACGCGTGTCCACAGGTGCCACCTCCGCTGCCCACGGGAGGCCTGCAGCCGGGCTCCTGGCCGGGGGCGCCGGGGCGGGCGTGCACGCTAGGACGGGTGGTGGTGGTGGTAATGGTGGTGGTGGTGGTGTTCGTGGTGGTGGTGGTGCTCGTGGCGCTGAACCACGGGCACCGGGTAGCCCTCCCCCAGCAGCACGGGCGGCAGGTCCCGCACCACCTCGTGCTCCATCACCATGGGCTGGCCCAGCGCCGCGGCCTTGAGGGGCGAGTGGCCCTCCCTGCCCTTCTGCCGGTACCGCTTGTGGCTGTAGGGCTGCGGCGGCGGGGGCTGCGGCGGGGGCTGCGGGAGGTGGTGACCGTCCTGGGGGGCCTGGGGCAAGGCAGCTGGTGGGTGGTAGCTGAAAGCCCTCCCGGGCTTGCCCCCGCCTGGCATGCCCCCAAGGGGCACGCCCCCACCGGGCACCCCAGGCGGCCTGCCCGAGCCCTTGGGGGACTTGAGGAACTGCTTCTCCTGCCCCTTCAGCCGGGGCTGCAGGTCCAGGGCCCGGGCAGCGGGGTCGCCGGCCAGCAGGACGTGGTCAGCCAGCACCTGGGACCGGCGGTTGTGACCTGTGTGTGCATCAGACTCCTGGGAGCGGGACCTGCTCGGGGGGTGTGCGGCCTTGCCCTGGTGCTCCTGCTTGGCCTGTGCTGGCGGGGACCCTGCACACAGGGGACACAGACCATTAGACCCTATGCAGGGCCTGGCACCTCACCTTGGACCAGGTACCCCCCCACACACACACACATACACGCCTGGATGAAATACTGCAGCACAGTGTGGCAGGAGCCCTCGAACCCCCAGGCCAGGGCGCAGGCTGCTAAAGGAGGCCTCTCACCCAGGTCCCACCCAGGACCTACCAGGCCCGAACTTAGACGTGTAGTTCTCGATCCCGGCCAGGTCCAGGTAGTGGTTTCTCCGCTCGGTGTTCTCGTCCACGCAGTACAGCCCCCTCACAGGGCAGGGGTGGGGGTCAGCATTGGGCCTCCTGCGTGGGGCACAGGGCAGAAGGGGCCTGACCTTCACACATTCATCTTCCTCGGAGATGAAGGGGGCGCTGAAGGGGATGGTCCCGGGCAGTGGACTCTGACCAGCACCCGCCGCCCAGAGAGAGGCATCGGAAAGGATGGGTGTCCGGGAGAGCAACTGGCCCGGGATCCTGCCACGACCCCAGGATCACTGCTGCAGATTGCCTTGGGGAACCTGCGGGAACTCCCGTCTGCTGGTCCCCGAGGCAGAGATGGGGCCTCTGCTCTGAGACCTCTATGTCAGCGTGGCCGGACTGAGGGTCCCTCGGCTGACCTACCCTTCAAGCCTCACCCAGCCCTCGGACAGACACTGGGTTTGCTCAGCTCCAGCCCGAGCCCCGGGCCACAAAACGGCACCCTCACCCCAACGGGGTCCTGCACCCAGTGCTCCTCTACACCCAGGTGCTCATCCCTGAGGCCTGCAGGAAGCAGGGGTGTGGGCGGGCTGCTCCCCGTGAGGAGGGCACACCTGGAGGGCAGAGCCAGACCCCAGCCCCTCACCTGATGTGAGCAGACAGCCTCCTGTCAGCCACCCTGGGGTCCTCCAAGACCTCGCCCTCCGTCCTGCAGCGACTGGGTTCCCGGTCTGAAAGAGTGAATTCACTCATACATTTGTTCCCTCCTTTCTTCCTTCCTTCCTTCCTCTATTTACTAAGCAAACATTTCTGAGCCCCTGCGAGGTGCTAAGGCCCTGCTTTCCATGTTCAGGAAACCAGAGCGTTTGTCCCACTGGGGAGAGGAGGGGAAATGGGGTGCTGAACAGTAGACACAACTAACATGACTCCCATGGGCTGGTGTGTGGGGGGTAAGGGCTGGGTGGAGGAGGGTCTGCAGGGAGGGGTGGGCTGCCAGCTAAAGCAGGGTCTTCAGGGCATCGGAGCAGGGGCCCAGCCCCTCACCCTGGCTGGCGGGGAGACCCTCCCTCCTTTTGCCGGAGGGCTCGGGGCTGACGGTCAGCTTCACACGGAGGGTCTTACTGCTGCCGGAGGAGTGGTTGACGGAGGCGTCGACGACCTCGTAGATGGTGTGCATCAGGCTGGACATGTCCTGAGGATGGCACTGGCGTCACGGACAGGCAGACGGGGCCGGGGAACCGCCACCCGCTACCGCCTCCAGGCTGCCTGCCTGAGTCACTGCACCCATACAGCCCCATCTCAGGACGACTCACCGAGCAGCCTTTCTCACCCCGACTTTAGCCCCGTATGGCCGCACCAAACCTCCAGGGTAAGAAGCCTTGCTATTGTTGAAATTGCATCTCTCGGACCTTTTAAATTTCACACTGAATTTCTATGTTCGAAGGACTTAGCCTTCAGATAACTACCTACGTTTTGCTCTTTAACCCAAAGACACTTATTTCTGTTGTCCCATGTGCCTGCTTCCTTCCCAGGGGCACTCTGCCCATCCTGGACACACAGGCCAGCCGAGGTGAGTGCGGAGGGCATTCCGGGACCCTCGCCACCTTGCCCGGGAGCTGCCAGCCCACTGTGCCTCAGGGGGGTTCAGACACAGGCTCTGCTGGAAACAGCGCTGACAGCCTGGGCCACGCGGCTCCTGAGGCTCCAGCGGCTGCCTGGGGCACACTGCCCCCACAGCCGGGGAAGGTCCCGCCTCTCCTCCCACCCTAGAGGGCTCTGCCTGTCTCCTCATCACCCAGACCAGGGCCCTGGCATCCGTCTGCTGCCGGCTCCCCGCCCGGGGGACCGTCTTCCGAAGACACAGGTGCATCACCTCCCTGGTGGCCTTCCCGCTGTTGTCGAAGCCATAGAGCGTGAAGGTCCACTCCTGGCGGTTGTCCTCCTCCACCGAGACGTCGCACTGGAGCGCCTGCAGGGCACAAGGGGTCAGAGGCGGGTGGGGTCGTCACTCTGCCCTGGGACCTTAGCCTCCCTCCACCTCTCAGGAAAGCAGGCGTCCTTCCATTGCGCCCAGGAACTTCTGCCTTGGAAGGCCAATGGCGGACCTCCGGCCATCCTGGGGTGCTGGCGCCACACCGGGAAGTCCCCCCCCCCCCCAGATTATTTGATGCCACATCAGCCAGTTTGAGCTGGATTTGTGGCCACACCTTCCTTGCCCACCCCCACCCCCTTTCCCAGAGCTGGCAGATGCTGGAAGCACAGGCAAGCTTCGCTGTAGCTCCTCCACCGGTGGAACCTCAGGCAGACTGCCCAGGCAAGGCCCTGTTTTAGGGCCCATGAGCGCCGAGTCCAGCGCGGACCCTTTTGCACCCGGAGGCAGAGCCAAGACCTACGTCGATGTTCAGGCGCTTCTTGCCCAGGCCTCGCAGACCTCTCTCAGCATCATCTGCACTGAAGAGCTGACCCTCTCGACCCTCGGCCTTCTCCGGGGGCAGTGCCACTGGAGGTAGAAGAAGGAGTGAGGGAGAGCCGTCCCCACCCCACCCATCCCACCCAGGGAGGTGACTCAGCACGGGGTTGCCAAAGGGTGCGGCTGGGAGCCTGTGCTCCTTCCCAGACGGGCCTGAGCTGAGAGCCCATCCTTCCAGAACAAGGAGGCATCAGGGGATCTGTGCAGAGGGCAGCGCAGCCCTCCCCTGGGGTAGCCATGGTCAGGTGTGCCCTCAGCCCTGGCCTGGCATAGCCATGGTCAGGTGTGTCCTGGCTCTGCCCACCCAGCCAGCAGTGGCTTCAGAGATCCAGGTGGGGCGGAGGCTGCTCTGTGTTGGTCTGGGTTTGGTGGGGACATTAAGGAGCAGGGAGTGGGCGAGCCTATGCCATCTGGGCCTCAGCTTGTCCAGGTGTCCTGAGGGCAGGTCTCAGGCATATGCCCAGGGTACAGGGTAGAGTCTGTGGGGTTTGGGGAGCAGAACTTACCCTCTAGAGGACACTGGTCCTCCCGGAAAGGTCCCTCCTTGGGGTCCCCACTGTGAAGCTCCTGCAGGGAGAACAGGGAGTGTGTGACCATGTGGCCCGGGGCAGGTCACAGACACCAGCCTCCTGGGGTGTCACTGCAGAGGAACCAAGCTGGGTACGCCCATGAAGCCTCAGATTTTTAAGCAAAACACACGCACATCCCACGGTGTCATTGGTTCCATTAGAAACTCTCCAGGCTCAGCCAGAGTGGCTCAGTGGATGAGTGTCCACCTAAGAGCCAGATCACGGTTCGACCCCCGGTCAGGGCACATGCCCAAGTTTCGGGCTCAATCCCCATTGGGGGAATGCAGGAGTCAGCCAATCAATGATTCTCTTTCATCATTAATGTTTCTATTTCTCTCTCCCTCTCCCTTCCTCTATGAAATCAATAAAAATACTTTTTTTAAAAAAGAAAATATTATCTTTAAAAGGGAGGAAGGGAGGAAGAGAGGAAGAGAGGAAGGGATGAAGGGAGGAAGGAAGGAAGGAAGGAAGGAAGGAAGGAAGGAAGGAAGGAAGGAAGGAAGGAAGGGCAAAGCCCCCAGACCGGCATCCAGAAGTGTTGGAACCCAGAAGAGCTGGTGCAACTCCAGTGGGCACGCAGCCAGGTATCGCGAGGGCCGTGGGAGCGACCCCGGTAGCACTCCCAAAGCCACGATAACGACACAACAGCAGCCAGCCTGTGACCAGTGCCCTGCAGTGCCTTTGGAAAACACATTTATCCACATATATCCCAACGCTAGAATCTACAGAGTTGATCCATGAGCTAAAGCAGCAACTACCTCTGAGATAGAGAGGCTCAAATAAGGGGATAAAAAAACATCTGGGAGGAAAGTAACAATTCTTGTCCTTCTGACTGGCGGTTTCAAATTCATCCTGGTTTTTAATCTGTGCTGCTCTGGCTCAACAGAAGGGCCAACGCTTTAATTGCAAAGGGTAAACCTACCACAGGGATGCTGGCCAGATGTGCAGCCCCTCCCCGCTGGGGTGACCTTGTTGGCAGCTGACTCCCAGATAATTGGGACCCTCAGTGAGGCAGGGGCACAGGCAGATACCCCGTCTCCTAAAGTCCAGCAAGTGCCCACCTCCCACATCACCCTGCCCAGGACGGGGCCAGCCCTACGGTTCCTGGGATGCCCCCACCTGCCTTCCCGGATCTGAGCACGCCCCCTTCTAAAGCATCAATTTCTGCTCTCACTCCCTTTGCCACACCCAAAGGAGTCCCAGCCTCATGCCCATAAAAGTCCCTAACTCCCCTCTCGTCCCAACCTGACGCCCTTCTGCCTGGCTGGGTTTCCATAGAGGCCCTCAGCACCATCCTCACTGCTCCCTGGCTGACAGAGCCCTGTTTCTGCACCCCCCACCCCCCACCCCAGAACCCCATCCCTGGGCTCCCTTATCAAGCCAGCAAGGCCTCTGCGGCACCGCCCACCCAGCACTGCTGACCTGCTGATCTCCTCAGGCATCCTCTCCTCCCTCCCCCCACCCCCCGCCATCCTCTCCCTCCCCCAGCGGCCCTGGCACCCTGTCCATTCGTTCTCCAGCATCTGCTGGCCACTGGGGACAGGATCTCAGCCCCACGCACCCCAATGCTTTAGGAACCCCAGGTCCTTCTTCTGTATGTCCATGTTGGGTGGCTGTGACCTTGGATCATTACCCCTTTCACCGTGCAGGGCTCTCAGGAGGCTGGGGGGACGGGGGAGGATGGGATCCTTCCTGTCTCTTCCAGCGCCTGTGGCCCCAGGTGTTCCTGGGCTGGTGGACGCATCTCTCCGACTTCTCCGCAGTCACATGCCTCTCTGTGTGTCTTTTGTGTGGAACCTCCCACTGCCTCCCTCTTACAAAGATACAGGTACCGCACCAGGAGGAAGGTCACATTGGCAGAGACCCTCTTCCACATCCGGTCCCAGCTGCAGGTCCCCAGGAGGACAAGGTCTCTGGGGCCAGTGTTCAGCCCCGAAGCTGGGCCTGGTCTCCGCCCTGTTGCTATTGGCTGAAAATCCTGAATCCGCCGCCTAATCACTTGGGCCTCCGTTTCCTTTCCACGAAGCAAGGAAGGGATTGCGAGGAGGGAGTGGGGCTCTCCAGGTGCCCACGTGTGCCAGGCGCGTCCACAGCCCCCTACTGTGGGACCTGCACCCCACAGGGAGAGGTGTGCTAGGAGGACAAAGGAGGTAACGCCACAGCTCTGACACCGGAGCTTCTGACCTAAACAGGCCGGTACCAACGCTGGGGGCCGGGAACACACAGTCCCTGAGCTGAGCGAGCAGTGGGATGCACACACCACCGAAGGAAACACGTTTGCTTCTCCAAGTTAGATTCCTTGCAGACTCCAGAGGCCTCTCTGGCTTGCATTCCTGAGAACGTGGTGTTCCCCAGGGGCGAATGTTTGCTCTGTCCAGAAAGCCAGCTGTGTGCGGAGTCCCGGGGGCAGGTCCCCCTTCTGTGAAAGGGTCCGGGATATCGGTGATGAGAATCCAGCATGACTGGCAGGAGAGTGGGGCTGGCACCTGGGCCACCCCCACCCCTCTCCTTCATACACACACAGGAGTTGCTCTGGAGCTGTTCTTTTCCATTAAAACAGACTCTGGTGACCCCCTCGGTGCAGCTCACAGCCCCGGATGGCCCACAACCAAAAGCCCCCGCACATCTGGACGTCTGGAAGCACTGCCCTCCTGAACCTGAGGTCAGGGCTACTCCTCAGGGTTCTGGCGCGTTCCAAAGTCTAGGCGAGTCTCCTCTCCAGGTGCAGTGGGGATGCAGGAGGGGGCTTTGTGCAGACCAGAGTCCAAGCAGGTGAGAAAGAGGTGGTGGTGGTGGTGGTGGTGTGTGTGAGGGTTGGGGGTGGGGGACAGAGAGAAAATGGAGGCAGAGAGGGGCTCCTCTAGGGGTGACGGGAGGAGGCACACTGAGCAGGCCTGTTGGCAGCATTTTCCCAGAATTCACTGTTCTTAGGAGGACAGTCACTGGATGCCCGCTCGCTGATGGTGACGCGGTGGGTCCCTCAGGACGGGATGGCCTTCCGTACTGGGTGAACGTTTGGGATTGCGGGGCCTACACTCCAGGTCACAGGGTTGTCTGGAAGGTGGAGGGGAGCAGCTGCTTCCACGGCTGTTTACGTAAAAGCACCCCCTCGCCAGGGCCAGGCGTGCAGGCGGGTTCCGGCCGCCGGCAGGCCGAGGGCAGAGCGGGAGCCCAGCCACCCCGAGGGGCTTGGGAGGGGGCTGCGCTCAGAGCTCGCCTTTTGTGAGGAAGGCTCAGCGAGGGGGCAGCGCGGCTTTCTGCCGGTTGCCAGTGGATGGAATTTGACTTCAAGGTGATCCGCCAGCGTCTGTCTGGAAACACCACGGCGGCTTTGAAGTGGAAGTCTCGGTTTCAACGGCTAACCAGTTTCAGATGTGACAATGTAGTTTTATGGGCTTAATAATTCCGACACATGTGCGGCTGGGGCCCGCGCGGGGTCCCGCTCGGGGGGCTGGTGTGGCTGCTATTCTGAACTCCTGATTTTAAAGCGAAAGATTAGGGATGATGAAACCGAGCGTTCGCGGGCAGGGGGCCCTGCAAACAGGCTTCCCAATGAGCTGCAGATGGTTCTTGTTTCTTTCTTTTCAAACTTGAAACAGAGCTTCGGGATCCGGCAGGGGCGTTCCTGGGTTTTGCCCGTCGGTACTTCTGGGTTAGGACGATTTAATCAGCCTTTGTAATAACCAAATTTGGAATTTGCATGTAGAAACCCAGTCATTTGGGATCAAAGGGCCTCCTAAAATAAACATATGCGACTCCTCACATGAGAGTGGTAACTTGCACCCTGTATGAGGTCGCTCTCTGGCTTCTTCTCATCCCTGTCCCAGCCTCTCACAACTCTGCTCATCTTAAGAAGACACAAAATGGCCCCAGCTGGTTTGGATCAGTGGCTAGAGCATCAGCCTGTGGACTGAAGGGTCCCAGGTTTGATTCCGGTCAAGGGCACATGCTCAGATTGCGGGCTCGATCCCAGTAGGGGGCGTGCAGGAGGCAGCCGATCAATGATACTCTCTCATCATTGATGTTTCTATTTCTCTCACTCCCTTCCTCTCTGAAATCAATTTAAAATTTGAATCAAGATAAAGAAGACACAAAATGTATTTCACACCCTGCTTACCCTGGCCTGTGGAGACTTACCTGTTGGTACTCATCTACCCAAAAGCAGCCTGACCCTGGAGGGGCTCCCCAGCCCCCCCACCCCACCCCACATGGATGCTTGTGGTAAGGATGACGATGACACACTGGGGACAGGAGTGTCCACCAACGACATATCCGCCAGGAATCCAACCCATGCCAGCCCGCAGTGTGTCGGTGTGAAGGGGGACAGGAGGGAGACCCAGGCCACCTGCTGCAGGAGTGATGTCCCACAATCACATGCAGGGGCAACATCGTCATCGGCAGAGGGTCAGCGAGGAGCCGTGTTCAACAACGTGGTGGCCAGGATTCTCTTTCTCCCACTCTTGGAGATGACGCATGCTCCCTACATTAACCCACATGATTCAGAGGAGAAGCAGTCCTGGCCCCAAGCCCCAGGCTTGTCACTAGAAGCAGACCTGACCCCACGTCCTCCCAGAGTCTCCATGGCATCCTGGCGGCTGAGGGTGAGCAGGCTTCCTCAGGCAGGGGATGACACGTTCAGCACAGACACTAAATGTGTGAGCATACACACACGTGTGTATATCTAGTCTATGAATACATATAAAAACAGACGCGTGTAATACACACCATATAGATACAGCATGAACGCATGACACACACGCAGTCTTTTCACCCTCAATAACTGAGATGTGACCATGACATATGCCCCCATGTCCGGGGATTCCCATCCTCAGCACCTGGGATGCTGCTTTCCGTTCAACGCTAAATGCTAAAGTCACTTTGCAGCCCCTCAGCCAACCTCATTTTCTCCCCTGGCTGTGCTGCTACTGTTTTTGTCTTCAGAGCTAACGATGCAGTTTCACAAAAAAAGGAAAACCCAGGGTGATCGATCTTACAAAT